GAAACACTTCACATATATTTATCTCAGCTGGCAGCCCTTCTGCAAGTATCATTATCTGTATGTTTGCAGTATTATTACCCCCATATGGCAGATGGAGGGCCTCTGGTAGAAAGCGGGAGGCTTGCTGAAGGCCACCGAAGGAGATTGGAAGCAAGTGGGCTCTTTGGAGACTTTGGAGCTTGAACACGGAAAGTTCAGGTTGCAGGCTGGAGTCATGCAGCTACCCAGGACTATTTTTCCATAGGCCTCACAACCCACTGCAGGCCCAAAGGGGTATGGAACCCTTTTAATAGGCAAGCAACATTTGTTTTATAAAGACTGCTTTTCATGCTAAAAACACAAAGAAACAAAACCATACCTCCCAATGCAGTTTATGAACTTTATATCCACCAGTGCACAAATACAACATAATAGCAAAACATTGAGTTCATTCAAGCAATATTCACATTTGGTACTAACAATACAGTAACAGTAACCTAGCATAACATTAATAATCAGGATAGCACCTACAGCCCAACTCCTAAATTTGCCCGCAAAGGCTAAATGATAGGTCTTTGAGGCTTGTTTAAATATTTGGAGGATGGGGCTTGCCTGGGCTCACTCAAAATAAATCTTTGCAGTTACGTGGCCACCACTGAGAAGACCATGTTCCCTGTTCCTCTCAGAACAAAATCTCTTGATTGGCCAGATCTGATATAAATACTTTCTCTCTTACCCGGACAGCAGATTTCAAAACAGGCCAATTGCCAGAAAAGCAAGGACAAGACTCGCCCGTTGCCTTTTTTAGTGGGGGAATATATCTTCAGTCAGTGGTAGTGCACACACTGGTGTGGCAGAAGAGGATGGCCAGTGTGGTGGGAAGATTCAAGGACAATCAAGGAAACACATGAACATTTCAGTGTAGTATAATATATTTAAAAAAAAAATATTTGTAGAATATGGATAGATATATTTTCAAAATGTGAGCAAGAGCATCAAGTGATACTGAGGACAGCCCTAGTTGTGTTTTCCAATGTATTTCTTTTCAATGAAATATTTCGTGTGGCCCAGAGAACGAAGTTTGAGAACCACTGCCTTAGGTGAATAGATCACTCTCCCCCCTCACTCAACACTGTGCAACCAGCTTAGCACATTCTCACCACCACCATTACCTCCCCAGGCACTGAATGTTTTTGTTGCCAACAGGACAGTATTCTCTGCTTTCAGCATTTCATAGAACCATAGAATTTTAGAGTTGGAAGGGACCTTGAGGGTCATCTAGTCCAGCCCCCTGAAATCCAGGCTCCATCTTCTAACTCTGGGAACTGACCTCAGTTGGAGGACCCCACACTCCCCCTCTCCCGCACCCTGGTTTGGGAAACCCACCTGGCCTAGATTCAGGCTTAACCACCCTCAGCCCTAGCCTAGCCTTGTTCAGTGGTGTGGCACAACAGTCTTGGACTGTGGACTGCATGGTCCTGCAGGAATGTTTTTTCAGCCAGACAGCTGCATGCGCTTCTGGACAACCTTCCAGCAGCAGGTGGAGCCAGGGGCCACATATGTAAATGTTATATTTGTACACTTGGCTAGTTTCCTTATATGCTCATGCACCCCTCTCTGTCCTCCGCTGAGATGAGCTTGAGACAGCTCAGTTGGTAGAGCATAATACTTTTAATCTCAGGGTTGTGGGTTTGAGCCCCACCTTGGGCAAAATATTCCTGCATTGCAGGGGGTTGAAATAGATGGCCTGTGTGGTCCCTCCCAACTCTGCAATTCTAAGCAAGAGGCATTATCACAGCTCAGGAGCCCAAAAGCAAACAGGGAGGGTGTGCATCTGGGCGAGAGGTGTCACCTGGGGAGAGTCCCAAGGACCAGCTACAGGGAGCCTGAGGGTCCTCACACATGTCTTATGGGGAGGTCTTATTTAGGTGGCATTTCCACCTTTTGAGGGATGCGGGTGGCGCTGTGGGTTAAACCACAGAGCCTAGGTCTTGCCGATCAGAAGGTCGGTGGTTCGAATCCCCGCGATGGGGTGAGATCCCGTTGCTTGGTCCCTACTCCTGCCCACCTAGCAGTTTGAAATCACGTCAACGTGCAAGTACAGTGGTGCCTCGCAAGATGAAAAGAATCCGTTCCGCGATTCTCTTCGTCTAGCGGTTTTTTCGTCTTGCGAAGCAAGCCCATTGACAGCTTAGTGGATTAGCGCTACAGCGGTCTAGCAGCTTTTCACGATCAGCTGTTAAGCGGCTTATCAGTGGAACAGCTGATAGGCGGCTTAGCGGCTTAGGAAAAGGGGGGGGGAGCGAAAAAAACCCGCGGGGACTCGCAAGATTTTTTCGTCTTGCGAAGCAACCCCATAGGGAAATTCGTTTTGCGAAGCGCCTCCAAAACGGAAAACCCTTTCGTCTAGCAGGTTTTCCGTCTTGCGAGGCGTTCGTCTTGCGGGGCACCACTGTAGATAAATAGGTACTGCTCCGGCGGGAAGGTAAACAGCATTTCCGTGCGCTGCTCTGGTTCACCAGAAGCGGCTTAGTCCTGCTGGCCACATGACCCGGAAGCTGTACGCTGGTTCCCTCGGCCAGTAAAGTGAGATGAGTCGGCCACGACTGGACCTAATGGTCGGGGTCCCTTTACCTTTACCACCTTTTGAAGGAAGTGATGTAAGCCAGTCCTGATTTGTTTGGAGGGGGCACATCCTGATCCATCACCTGAGTGGGGCTCTAGAGCAGAATGTTGCAGTTATTCCAGTTCATGCCTTCTTTGCCCCACTCATTCCACCATCTTCACTCTACCTGAATACCCAGGGTGGGTAGGTGGGTACAGTTGTATCTGCATAGTCACTTCAGAAAAATTCAATATATGGATAGAGAGTTCATTATGTGTAGTGCTTTTCTGAGGGGAGCGGGGAAGATTAATCATTAGACTTCCGTCTTGAGGAAAGAAATGGAAGCTGTAACAAATGGCTGTACATGTAAATTTGCCCTGTGCATTTTTGCCTCCACCCATAGTAGTAAAGGCAAGGCAGTTTGTTTTCAAAGGAGGTTTGGGTAGGTTTGTGAGTCATTCTTCCTTGGAGCTGGTCGTTGTTAAGGGTTCCTCACCCGCTTTTAATTCTGTTTTCTTTATCTTTTTTCTTTTCCCCTTCCTGGCAATTAAGGTTTTGAAGCATTTGTCCCATGGTAACGAGAAGTATGGTCCTTTTATCAAAAACGATACATTCTGTGCACCTTAATAAGCCTACGTTTGCTTGCAGCCCTCCGAAGCAGACGTGCGGAGTGTGTTGAGAGGGGAAAGTTTAATTGCGATTCTTATTGAAAGCAATTAATCCTCTTGATTGAGGGGTTGGGAAGATGGTGGTGGGTTGGGGCTAGGGAGACGAGCTGGTAGCACTTGCAATGCTAATGCCAGATGTGATACCACAATAGGTTTACCAGATTTAAGATGCAGCCAAATAGGTTTGCGAAGGGGTTTCTCCTCTTCATCTCCTGTCGTCACCTTTTGGTCATAGAATCATAGAATTGTAGAGTCTGAAGGGACCCTGAGGATCATCTAGTTTTAGTCCAATACCCTCAATGTGGGAATGAATATGCAGCTGTCCCATATTGGGATCGAACCTGCAACCTTGGTGTTATCAGCCCCATGCGTCCTGATGCTGTTGGACTCCCAGCAGCCCCAGCAACATAACAAGGGCAACAGCTAAGTATGGCTAGTATGATTATTTCTCAATTGTTTCTCACAAGCCACAAGGCATCCTCAAGTGGTTTACAATCACCCAGGAGTATCTGGAGGGCCTCAGGTTCCCAGTTTCCACCCTACAAGGACTCTTGAGGGCAACTGGATCCTTGAGGGTGGTTTGGGGGGTGGGGTTCAGCTTGTGCATCCCCACTGACTAAAGGAGGGAAGCTCCAGGGAGACTAGGACATTGGTTATGAGACTCCCTTGCACCCACCGGGTGAGAGAGGACCAGCTGATATTTTCTGGCACCAGTGAAAGTTTCCCGACCACAGTGACTTTTTTCCATGGCCCACAACTGTGCAAGAGCAGGGCCTGGCAGGGGGTGACACCTGATCCAGATCATGATTACAAAAGGGAATCCAGGTGGGACTTCTTTCCCTGGGAAAGCTCTGCAATGGCCAAGGGAGGCTGAGACTTCAAGCTGAGGGAAATGTTATGCTGTGCAGACTTGGGAGGAATGGATTCAAGTTGCCTTCTGCCCTAGGGATATATGTCAGGCCTGCCTCAAGGAGCTTTTTTGAAGATGCTTGCTAGGAATACAGCAGAGGGCTTAGCAAATGGGAAAGATTCAGCATAGTGACGAATAGTGTGTCAGGCACTCAGGTTGAAAGACTGTCAAGCTTTTAACGAACGTTTGTGTATGAGAATCAAACAATGAAACCAAGAAGGGGCGGTGAGGGAAGTCAAATAAAATTATGGTTTTAAAATCTGTTGATGATGCTTTTGTTGTTACTTTTGGAAAATTTAATAAAATGTTCTCAAAAAAGAAAGAAAGACTGTCAAGCACCTGAAGCAACAACAGAAAGCCCCGAGGCAAAATGGCAGATATTCAGCCTTGTTGGGTGGTGCAAGAGAGATTATAGTGTGGTGTGTGAGCGTGTTTCTTCTTAGCAGGGTTTGCTTACTGAGGAAGAGCAGCAGATCTAGGAGTCTTTATAGTGAGGCAGTATACAAATTCAATCAATGAATCTATTAATAGCAGGCAGTGCCATAGGATCGGCTGTGTGCACTTGTGTGATCCTTAGGACTGAGAGGATTCTGGGAGGGTGTGAGGACGTCTCAGCCTGAACTGCTCACAGTTCCCTTTTCTGGCTAGTGGAAAAGCTGCAGGAAACTGTCCTTCACCAAGGCTGCTAGGCCAGGACCCAGCACTACCTGTCACAGCAGTCAGAATTCCTGTGCCCCTTTCTTTTGCTTTCTCTGGACTGCAGGTGTTACTCTGCATCCCAGGACTAAGGCTGCCTTGTGGCCCTGTAACGGATCCTTTCTTTTTGCCTCCCCATCAGGTCGCAGGAGTTGCACGCCCGAGCTGAGTCACATTCCTACCTCTCTGACCTGAGTAAACAGTCGGAAATTGAGTTCATTGAGACGAAACGGCCCCGGCTGGAGCTGCTGCAAGAGCCTTTGCTGAGACATTCACCTCTGCTCAGTCAGCAGGGAGGGACGGAGGATCTCTCCAAGGTAAGCCAAGGAGCCAGGCACACGCAGTACAGTACATGTTGGTTTTGTGATGAGGAAAAGGAGGAGGAGGAGGTGGCGGCTGGGAGAAATACAATGGGCAACTTGAAAACTGTCTGTGTGGTCTGCAATATTCTAGCTGTTTGCAATATGCAGCCAGCAAATGGATTTTTAGAACTCTCACCTCTGCTGGTCTTAGAGGCTGGTTCAGAGGAACTAAAATGTTGGCGTTGTCTTCACCTTACATGGGCCCGCTGGCTGAACGCTTTGCAGCATAAGGGCCTGACAGGCACCCCAGAATGCACCGAACACCTTGCAGACCCCACAAAATTCTGCTTTGCCAAATGGAAGGATTTGCAACCTTAATGGATTTGTCTGCAATATTGTCTGCAGGGCAAGCCAAGGTTTTTGGAAGCTGGATGAACAGGAGGGCTGCTGGTGTAAGTGAACTGAAGGACAAAGGGTGGCAGAAAGACGAGAGAGCAGAGTAGTGGGTTGGGAAGCAGTGGTGTGGTGCAGTGGATAGAGGTTCCTTTCCTTCTGTCAGCTGAGACGTTCACTCACTGATCAGCTATTGCCTCTCAGTCTGAATCCACCTTACAGAGTTTTTGTGAAGATTTTGTTTCTGTTTTGCTTTTATTAGAATTTTGTATTCTAATTTTGTATTTTTCTGTAGTGAAGTGCCTCAGGATCTTCAGATTTAAATAATAATAGCAACAATAACAACAACATGGGCTAGCCTTATGCACACTGCCCTGAGCTCTTTTCAGAATAAGTGGGATACAAGTCGGTTGAGTTGAGAGAGAAAAAATAGGTGGAGGTGACTGAGGGAAAGGATGATGGGGAAGAAGCTGGGAAGGAGTGTGTAGAAGCACAGAAGGCAAGGAGCTCCCAGGGCTATAAAAGAAGTGGGGAGGGTTTCTTAAGGGGCAGGGTATTGCATGTGGATTTGAATAAACGATTTGGCTGCCGGCAGTGATAGTCCTGCACCTGCATATTGGACTATAGGCTGTTGTGTGTCCCTTTCAGACTGAGTGTTGGATGCTCAGTTGCGGAGGCCTTGAATTTGGCTGCAGTTTTGGCTTTGGAAAAGCATGCTCTGAACTGCAAATGCTTGGCACAAACCTCAATTGCCAATTTTGTTTGTCTATGGCGGTCTGAGTGGGCTATAATCGTTCTCCGAGTGAGTTGTAATATATTTATGTGCCCCTGTGGGGTGGACTTTTGGCCTTGTATGATTTACTTGGTCTTTCACTGCGACCTAGAGGTACACCAGCTAGAGCCAGATGCCAAGTAGTGGGGTGTGTGGGTGTGCATGCATGCGTAGTTAGGAAAGAAGGTGCTTCTGATCAGTGCCAGAAATGAGAACTTAATCTTCTATCCCAGCTCCACTCCTGGTTTTTCTCTAAGGCTTTCTTAACTTAAAGCAGTCTAATTTAGATTTAGACCACAGATTTTGCTGGGAATAATTTATGCATCATCTTCAACCTTTCTGGGCCTATGGGCAAATTTGCAAACTGGAGAAGCTTGTACTGTACCATACACACATCACAAACACCCCCCCACACCCATCACATTATGTTCTGTTGGCTGCAGCAGCCAACAGCCTAATTTCAGCAAGGGTATTTCGTGAGAACTAGAGAAGGCCTAGTTGGTGACTCCTTCTCTGTAGATTAAGCTGCTTTGTCTTCTGGCTTGGTGCAAAGCTTGGGCATTCTCACTCCCTGGGCAATATCCCAGTTCAAGAACAGATTCCAGCCAGGCAAAATCATTTGAGTCGATGGTGGAGCAGAGCGAGTGAGAGATTGTGGGCTGAGGAAATAAGCATAGTCTGGGGAGTGGACGTGACTGGGGGGGACATAGGAGCATAGGAAGCTGCCTTATACAGAGTCAGACCATTGCGGGTGGCGAAAATGACAACACAAAAAATCTTGTTTGGGAGGGCAGCTGGGAAGGACATAGAAAACTTGTTTACTGGCAGAATTTAGCCCACAGAATTCTTCATAGTCATTCCAGAGGTGTAAGGGAACACCTTAAGCCCCATCTGCACTATACATTTGAAGCCTTATTATGCCACTTTAATTAGTCATGGCTTCTCCCAAGGATCCTGACAAGTGTGGTTTGTCAAGGGTGACGAGAGTCACTAGGAGACCCCCTATTCTCTTCACAGAGCTACAAATGGTTTAATGGCCAGTCCCGCTTCCCAAGGAACTCTGGGAATTGTAGCCCTGTAAGGGGAATAGCGGGCTACTGACAGCTCTCAGCACTCTTAGCAAACTACTACATTTCCCAGGAGTCTTTGGGTGGGTAAAAGCCATGACCATTTAAAATGGCATGCTGCTGCTTTAAACTATAGTGTGGATAGGGTCTTACTGAGCAGTGTGTCTGCTTTGCCTGACCGGTGTGTGGAGCTGTGCTCTTGACCTTTTCTAATGAGGGATTTTTGCAAATGGCTATTCCTCCCCGCCCCCCTTCCTTTTCCTTCTCCTGTGGGAATCTGGGGCTCTTGTATGTTGCAGGGATTAAGCAGGCATGGGCTCTGTCCTCCCACACTGTCCACACTCACACTCAGTGGGTCTGGGTCATGCAGTTAATAATGGAACTGGCCGGATCCTGCGTTAGACTTTAACAGGCCTCCCACTTGGCAAGGGCCTCATATCTAAATGAGTGATCTAGCTCTGGTGCTGGTGGTGGTGAGGGGGGTTGTAGCTCTTTGAACAGAGACAGTAAATGTGTGTGCTAACGCCACAGCTGCCAGCTCCTTAACCATCACCACCTGTTGGCATCTGTCTGTCTTGTGAGACAATGGAGTATGCCTCTGTGGGGGAAGTCAAGCCATGTTGTTCTTGCTGCTCCAGCAGCACCAAGAAACCTTTCTGGGACCTGGTGTGTATGGAGGTCCTGGGCTGCCTAGACATCAAGATCCCCGTCTTGGCCTCACTGACATGTCCAGAGGAAAGCAGAGCAAGATGTTTGTTTGACACCGGCTTGGCTGCAGGAGTTGCCAGAAGGAGGCATACAGGGCGTCATCCGAGTGTCTTACGGACTCCACTCTGGGTTCATTCCCTAGCCTTTCCTTCTCCCAAATATGTCCCATCACTACCAGGTTGGGAAGAAATGGAGGAGTTTGCAGAGGCAGCAACATATTTTCCATCATTTTTTAAAAAGAAACTCTTAAGGAAAAAGTCACCACTGTGGGAGACGGAGAGAAAGAAACCTGTGAGATAGCCACTGTTGTTGAGTGGGGTACATACAGAAATCTTAAAGGGGGGGGGGGAACCAAAAATGAAAAGAAGAAGAAGAAATTAAAGAGTATGTAACAGACTGGCTAAACTATTATCAACTTAATGCTCTGTTTAAGGCAGGCAAAAATATGGTTTTCCAGACAAACAATCACAATTTGAAAAGGAGTTATTAGGATTGAAGGTAAAAACTTTTTAATGATTATAATTTATTATTAGAGTGGGAAACGAAGGAAGAGCTTCTTAAGTCATCCATGATCAGCTGGGCTAGGGATGTGGGACATAATATTGACCTAAGCTTATGGAAACAATTTTGGAAAAAACAACTTGAAGTTTACTGCCTGTTACACTTTAAAAGAAAACTATCTTAAGATGATTCATAGGTGGTATTTAACTCCCAACAAATTGGCAAAGATGTTCAAAGCAGAGAGTGATAAATGTTGGAAATGTAGAGAGAGTGTAGGAACATTCTACCATGTGTGGTGGTCTTGTAGGGTTATTAAAGATTACTGGGAATTAATCCATAGCAAACTGGGGGGGGGAAATGTTTAAAAGCTCCTTTCCTAAAACCCAGAAGCTTATCTTCTGGGTATAATAACGACAGAAGTCCCTCCAAAACAAGTGAGTCTATTGATATATGCAACCACGGCCGCACGGATTTTACTTGCACAAAAGTGGAGAACAGACGTGATTCCAGCAAAAGAAGAGTGGCATCATAAACTGCTGGAATATGCGGAACTAGTGGGTAGGACTAATAGAAACAGAGATGAAAAAGAACTTGAAGAGGATTGTGTGTTATATATGAAAAATTATTATAGTAAGACAATCAACCTAGCAGGGTGATTATAATTCAGCAGTGCAAGTTATAACATGAGATAAAGAGAAGGAGAGAGGGAAATTTAGAAGAACAGGAAGACGTGGATAGGTTGGGAATAGGGAGGAAACCATGGAAGGCGTGGATGGGAAGTATATGAAAAGATTTTTTTCCCCTTACTCTTTTTTGAATGCAACAGTTGTTGTACTAATGTGGATGTACTAATGAAGTACATCCACATTAACAGCAAACGAACAAATAAAAAGAGATAGCCACAGGCTTGTGGGTGAAAGAAACAGTGTGATATCATAGGATTAAAGGGAGCCAACTTAAGTCTGTGATTTATTTCTCCTCCTCTCAGACACAATATTGTTATTTTCATTCTGAATGCTTACATTTGGGGGGAAAGCAGTGAAAATACCAAGTGGACATTCCCTTGACAACAGTAGCTTTGTGCAGTGGGGCAGGTGGAGAGCTGTTCCCATTCTCCTCTGCAAAGAGATCATGGTTGCTTCCTGAGGAGAAGGCCGTGAGGCAGGAGGGGCTGGCCTTTGGCGATGCTGCCTGACTGCATGGTTCCTGCCATTCGGACTGGGATCGTCTCTGTAACGTCACAGACTCCACATCTTGCTTCAACAACAAAACAAAACAAAAAACAACCAAGGTGGCTAAAATGAAGGAGTGCAGGCCTGAACAGTGTGATATTGTAGTGTGAGTGAGGAGATTAAAAAGTGGCCTGTGCTTATCTATACTATCCCTTCAGGGAGCAGATCCCAAGCATTTTATTTTCAGTGGAGAAATGTTTGCTTTATTTTTTCCACAGGTGGTTTTTTCCACAGGTGGTCCTCTGTTTCTGTTTTGTTACACAGTGTTAGGGAAACTGAGGCCCAGGCCTCCCCCTGGCCCTTGGGATGTTTCCGCAGACCACACCACATCTGTTAACTTAT